GTCATTTACTGTGTTTGTGTTGTTTTCCAGCCTAATGTACATGTAAGAGTTCCATTCTTAAAAGTAATAAGGAAATAAAGAGTAATAATTACAATAGATATAAGTATGTAAGTGAATGAGTAAGTGAGAGAATAAACGAAAATATGTCGTCAAAAAAATTGCTAACAGATGAGCACAACTATGTTGCAAAAATTTATTCGTTACATTGAAAAACTTTGTCGTATCTTTTTACTCTACGACGACATCAAGATTTGCAACATACGTATGAATATTGCAAAAGCTCTATGATAACATTTTTTGAACATTGAAAAATGCTGTTTTAGTTTAAGAGGCAATAAATAGACCTAAAATTATCGTTTTCGAAACAATTTCTTCATAGTAATGTGGTACACACAAGTTTCGAAAACGATGAATTTGATCTGGACGCATTCCACCACATGACATTGCTGATGAATGGTGCTTTGGTTGCATTGGAAACGTAGAAGCATTAGAGATTAAAAAAAAAAATTATAGTTGATTCGATGTGAAAGACATCATCAAGTTTTATTATCTTATACAGGTGATGGGAAAAAGCCTAGTAGATTATGATAAATGACGATATATAAAGCTTGGTAATTCATAGTTTCTCCAACAATTCTTGCATCATTCTTCCTGGTTAATTTCAAAATAAAATTAAAAATAATTGCACTACTGCATACAATGCTTTACTATAATGTATAGTGTTGTTTAACAAAAAAAAAAACACTGTAATGAATTTCCCAAAACAAAATGAGAATTTGAATTCCCTCTTTAGTAGTTTTTCGGGCTTTCTTGCCTTGATTGTTATTGTCTTCGTTGCATGATACCACATCTTCTTCCGACGGGCAATCTTGTATTTCAATTGCTTCTACAACGACAACATCCAGGCTGTAGCATTGCCTACACGTGCAGCTTCAGTGAAAAATAGCAATATCAAAAAATAGTCCAACAACAGAGTAGCAGCAATGAAATTCATTCATCTCAATGCTTCTTCTTTAGTAGGCTGTAGCATTGCCCACACGTGCATATAGTATTCAAGCCACATAGAACAACATACATCACTATAGCAGCAATGAAATTCATTCATCTCAATGCTTGAAAATCTCAGTAGCAACAAAATCCAATTCATATGAAAAGCTTTTTCAAAATTTAGTACATAAAGCTCATAGTATGTTCCTAAAATTAGCAGAAATAACTGACCAAAATAGATTTTAAAAACTGAAGGACGGAGATAATCATGAACAAAATCAAAAATTTCACAGAATAAAACACCACTAAAAAATTGAATAAAGAATTTACAAATAATGAACCATGGAAGAATTTTGTGAACTTAATCAAGAGAAAATAAATGAAAGAACAATGGAGAAACGTTAGAATCTAGCCGAGATAGAATAGATAAAGAGGCAACTCAGGCAGAAATCGAAATCGTAACAAATAAAATGCAACCAAAAATTAAAGATTGACAACCGACGATGGCACTACAAGAATTATACAATAAATATTCTTCCCAACAAAAAATATTCTTCCCAACATCGAAAAGGACTTGAGCAAAAGAATAGGAAGAATTGTAAAATAATTTCCTTGCAACTATCATTAAATTTCACACTTTATCCACTCTAAACATTCCATATTTTAAAGAGGACTAAAGAGGCAAACGGCTTTCGTCTGGTTCAGAGTGTAAAGTGATCTGGGCATAAACTTCATCTTTATCTGATTCAGCCTATCAGTTGAAACAAAAGGGAAACATATAAGGATAAAACAATTATTGTCCTCAAGATATCAAAGAGAGGAGAAAATCAAAAATCAAAAGAATTTTACATACCAATAAATGAACGTGACAAACACGACAGAGGATCTTCCAAGGAAGATTGAGCTGTGGAATTTGTTGATTCAACTCCTGATTAGCCGACGCCTCTAATTGCAAATAGAATATGTTCAAATAAATTTATGTAACCCATATAATTAGCACAATAGCATATTGAATTCATCATAAAAACACAACAAAAACTACATTAGAAGCTCCAAAACCATTTCTCACCTTACTTTCTCCAAAGGTAATGCATAAAACAGACCAATAGTGAAAATCATTCAGTGGCTTAGTACATTCTTTTACATATCTATTACATTGTCACATTGCTCAATTTATACAACATCAGTAGCTTATTCCATTCTTTAACTTCTGGAGTAACTTATGGATACAAAGAATATATAAATATTTTGGGCAAACCATATTACAGTTAAAGAAAGTTATTAAAACCATATATTACCTGCTTGTGGACTCTACTTCTCCTTCAATTTCACCATTAATTTTGCTAAACTTCTCTTTAAAACTCCAAGTTATAATAGCCTCTGAATAACATGAAGCGAACATAGTTTAGACATTTTTTGTTCGATATTATTTAATTAAATATTAATGAACAATCTTTCTATTACTACTGTCATAACTGATTTAATATTCTTGATCCGCCAGTGCATACTTCTTTAAATCCCTTCATAATGAAATGGCAAAAAGCAACGTTTGAGAAGATCAAATCATGGACATCTTAAAAAATATATATATATATCAAAAAAATAAAATAAAAATAAGAAACTACAAATAACAATAATCTAATCAAGATTCCAACCAAGTACATAAAAAATCGAGTTTGTCTACTCAGCACCCCAAAATTTTTTCCATGGGTCCGGTTACAAATTACCAAAAAAATAAAATAAAAATTGAAGCGAACGTGGATATGAAATATGAACACAGCCAAAAATGACTAAACCTGAAAGGTGCTTGAATAAAGTGGAAAAGGTCGGTGCCAAGAAACGGGGTGGGAGATAAGGCAAGGCAGAGAAATGGATGGATTTGGTGGTGTGGAGACGGTGCATCAAGACGGTGGTAGACGCCGTGGAAGTGCAAGCTACCATCGCTCTTAACTCTTGATTTGTGCAAAAAATTACCTCGTAAACAAATTTTCAAGATTTCTTCGAGAAGGAATTTAAACATGAAAACCAAATCTACAAAAAATGAGTTTCCAGATCTAGAAAGAAAGAGAAAAACCAAAGTCGTGAAATGAGATGAAACGAATGTTCTGGAAAGAGACAGCAAGATAAACACTAAGGTGGTGTTCTCTTTGTGTTTCAGTTTTGAGTTTTGAATTTATTTTGTATTTTGTGTTTTGAGTGTCTATTTTTAGATTGTTGAAAATGTGTTCTTTTTACCATTTTGAAAAATTGTTTTGAAAAACACAAAAATGAAAAATGTGTTCTCTTCAAATCACATTTTCCTCCCCCTCCACCGTCTGTGTCCGTCTCTCTTCTTCCCCCGTCCTCTCTCTTCATCCCGGCTTCTTCCTGTCTCTCTCTCTTCTTTTCCGACCACAAGGTTGCTTGCGTGCGTGCATGCTGTGTGTGGAGGTGAGGGGAAGGGGACATTTGATAACCAGCAATTTAATCAGGAATGTTTCCAATTGGAGCTGTTTTTGGATCAATTGATGCAATTGACATGTTACCCATGGTTGTATAACGCTGCTGAAGACTCATTTGGGGCAAATTTGGTGATTCAATGTAGTGGTGAAGATGAATTGAAGTTTGCACATTCGAACCCGTAAGCTGCGTGATTGGGAGATTTGATTCTGATCGATTGGGAGCTCCATTAGTTGAAGAATGGCCATGGTTATGATTGTCTGGGTGAGGGCTACCGATCGGCGGTGGTGCGCGACCATGGGTGTCGCCTGAACAAGAATTCTCGACAGTAGAAGTGTGCGACAGTTCTAATTTTTGGACTAATTTTTCTGTTGATTCCGGTGAGTTTGCTGCCGGCGGTTGGGTGTATGTTGTAGAGGGTAGTGAGGTGTGTTTAGTGGTGGTGGAATCCGGCGGCCATGGTGGCCGGAAGGTAGTCGGATGTGGTGGAATTAGGAATGTTATGGGAGGATCTGTGAGGGGAGAGGAAATTTTTTTTTTATATTTGGGTGAGCGTGTTTTCCGTGTTTTCCAACTTGTTTCGTGTTTTGTACTGAAAACATCCAAAACGGCAATTTTGCCGTTTTGTGTTTTCAGTACAAATTTTTTTTGTGTTTTCAAAAATGAGTTTTCGAAAATAAAAAAGAGAACGCATTTTCCAAAACTGCCGTTTTGTGTTTTCAGTACAATTTTTTTTTGTGTTTTCAAAAATGAGTTTTCGAAAATGAAAAAGAGAACGCGTTTTCACTGTTTTGGAAAACCAAAAACAGAGAACGGTCCGAAAACGTCAAAGAGAACGGCCCCTAACCTTTTACACAAGACGATATCGTTTCAAAACAACTCACTTTCAAGCGGCTCAGCATGCCCGGCTCAATTCAAAATGGCTGAGCCGACTACTAATTCGGCTTGTGAACAGTAGATCACAACTGCCTCTTTTACTTTTAGTTAGATTAGAAATAAATATTCCTAGGAACCTTTTTTAACATGTTTTGTGGGGGAGGACTGAACATAAATATGATCTAGAAATAGACACGTCCACATCTATTTATTTTTAGTCACATTATACCACTCATAAAAAGAGCTATTGCTATCTAATTACATATTTTCCCTTGCATTAACCTAATTTACATATTGTCCACACAGCTGCCCCCATGTAACGTATAGGAAAATAAGGAAAAATTCTGAAAACTCGACAATTGCATTGCAATTTTTCAAATGCTTTCCTCCCTATTTTACAAAAGATGCTAAATATTTCATTAAGAATAAAGCTATACGTATAGGGCTCTCCTATACGTTACATGGGGGCAGCTGTGTGGACAATATGTAAATTAGGTTAATGCAAGGGAAAATATGTAATTAGATAGCAATAGCGTGGTATAATGTGTGACTAAAAATTAAACTACGAACGGAAAACAAATATTTCGAAGTTAATTAGAGATTTCAAAATATGGAGACTTTGAGATTGTTGTAATTTGTATGAAATCGAAGATTGAAAATGTCTACTTACAAGGGAGAATTCTGAATTTTAACTACATATTTATGAGTTTCATACATTTCCAACCACACATTTCATTAATTTCTATCAAAATATACTAAAATGTAAAAAATCTGATTTTAATCCTAACTAAACATAGGCTAAATTTTACGATAAGTAAGATTTAACCTTTTTTTAGGCACTGTTTGAGCCCCATTATTTTTATTTTTTATTTTCAAAAAATACATTTTAAAATAGTGATTTAATGAAAAATGTGTGGTTAAAAAATAAGGAAAAGTTTTATATTTGCGTGTAATATTATTTTATTGAATAAAAATATATTTTAAAAATAATGAATACCAAATTCTCTACTTATTGAACAAGCCATAACCATAAATCTCTTACATAATACAATTATCTATATAACAAAATTAAAGTTCCTCATCTTTTAAAAAATTATTCCTTTTCAAATTCATTTCCAATTATATATTCTTTCAATCTAATAATTTTATACGTTAACGAAACATTTTTCTCTATTTTTTAACCACCCATTTAAAAAAAAATCATTATTATAAAATTTAATCTCCCAAAAATAGGCTCAAACGAGCCCTAATTTTTTTCCCCATCTTATTGGTTGGATTGGAACTTCGGAAGTAACTCTAAAAATGATCCGAGCCATTGGAAAGGCTCCTCCCGTGGATTCAACGGTGAAAGGCTCTCACGTGTAGATATTCTCACACGTGACAGGTTCCTCGTTCGCCGTACTCTTTTCCCTCAAACTCAAAAATCCCGTGACTCACAGTCAGCCTCGAGCTAAATCCCTAAACCCACCTTTTCTCACTATTACTATTCTCTTATTATCGACATGTATAGAACTGCAGCTTCTCGCCTCAGGGTTCTCAAGGTTAGCATTCCAAAATATACTTACATATAATTTTATACATCGGCGTTCTTATATTCGTAGGTTTTTAGCATATATTTATATCTATTATTTGTTATTTGGATCTGATGTTGGTCTGTTATGAAAGATTAGTTTTTTTTTCCAATGATTGCTTGTGGTGAAATTGAAATTTTGTCTTAATGATTAATTCCAAGAAATACGGGAGCTGGTAGAAAAAGTCCTGTATTTAATATTAACTTTTAGTATGGTTCATTTACAACTGTAAAGCTTGGAAATTTGGCTTCGTTTGAATGTGATGAACATATGCAATATTGCAACATGAATCGTAATTGGAAAAAAAATGATTTATGTTTTAACCAAAAAATCATCCAATTCCATATATGAGAGTAGTATCTCAAGCTTTTAAATTAGACTCTTGATTTTTGCAGGATGACATCCTTAATTATTTATGCTCTATCCTTCCCCTAGTAATTTTGATGAAGGACAATTTTATTACAAATAGAATTATGTCTTTTTGTAATAGGATTTCATTTTTTGTTAAGATTAGGACTTTTTTATTGTTTTAGATTTTTGATTACTTATTCATTTAGGTTTTAGTTACTTATCTTCATATAATCGAAGGCTTTTTAATTTTCTCAATGACCAATTCATTACAATAGACTTGGTTCGACTTGATTCTTGATTCACGAACTCCAATGCACCAAAATTAGTATCATAGTGAGGTTTTGCCCTTAGTTGATGGCCACCTAGTGTTGTAGTGGCATACATCCTCGAGATGACAATTAGTAGATTGCAAAATTACCTACCTCTGTCTATAATTTGGAACGAAGGATAGATAGCTTCGAAGATGTCCGACTAAAAATTGTAGATTTCGATTCCTATGATTGTTGTTCGTTTCAACAATTCCAAAACACGTCAACAGTTGGCTAGAGATTTTTCTCGAGGCCAAGCTAGGTTCGAATCTTCACAATGTGATGCAGAAATCTTGGATTAATTTTCTCTTCTTCAACCAAACTCAAGGACGACAATTATATTACAAATGGATACATAATTATTCTTGTTTTAATTTGATTTTATTTCTTGTTTAGTTTCAGACTTTTTATTCTTTTAGGTTTTTGATTATTTTTTCTTTCAGGTTTTAATTACTTATCTTCCTTAACTTATTATGATTAGGATATTATTTTGCCTATATGAACAGAGGCTTTTAAAATTTTTCAAGTACCAATTCATTACAATAAAATTATACTCTATCAAAAATTCAACTATCACAAGGTCTCACTGATTTTAATATTTTTGAATATTGAATCCTTTGTTAGGACCGAACAAGTAATAGAGGATTGACTAGATTTGCTAGTACGAGTGCTGTTGCGACCAAGACCTCGTCAGGAGGTTTTTTTAGCTGGTTGACTGGCGAGCACTCCTCTTCACTTCCTCCTCTAGACTTCCCTCTTAAGGATGTTGCACTTCCACCTCCATTACCTGATTTTGTTGAGCCTGGAAAAACGACTATAACGACTCTTCCAAATGGTCTCAAAATTGCATCTGAAACATCTGCGGTATGTGATATTTATTAGCATGTTTGGCCAAGGTTAAAATGTGATAAACATCTTTTAAGCTTAGCCAAACATGATCTATATTTTTCTCTTCATTTGAAAAGAATAAGAACTGCTTTCATTGTTACTCTGAACAAAGTTGTCATTGTTGAATTTGTTCGACAGAACCCAGCAGCTTCAATTGGGTTATATGTTGATTGTGGCTCAATATATGAAACTCCGACGTCATTTGGGGCCACACACCTCCTGGAACGTATGGCCTTCAAAAGCACAACAAATCGGAGCCACTTGCGTGTTGTTAGAGAAGTTGAGGCAATTGGTGGTAATGTCATGGCTTCGGCCTCTCGGGAACATATGGGTTACACCTATGATGCTCTGAAGACCTATGTTCCTCAAATGGTAGAGCTCCTCATTGACTCTGTGAGGAACCCTGCTTTTCTGGATTGGGAGGTTAACGAGCAGGTATATTTCATCAATCTCATATGGGAGTTAGTGCTCATTTTTTTTTGGCTATTTTGGGTGTGTGGATTAATATAGTATTGTCCATTACAGCTCCATAAGGTGAGTGCTGAGGTTAGCGAATGCTCCAAAAACCCTCAACACTTGCTATTGGAGGCTATTCATTCAGCTGGTTACTCTGGTCCATATGGGAATTCTCTTTTGGCATCAGAATCTGCGGTGAGCAGGTTGAACAGTGCAGTATTGGAGGAGTTTGTTGCTGTGAGCCCCATACATCATTGATTTTTTGTTCCTTTAATTTTTCATCCTTTTTACGGTTTTCGACTCTTAACCCATTTCCATTTCTTGTCCATTGATATTTAACAGTCGTTTGTTTTCCTGAATGGCATTTTCACTGTACAGGAAAATTATACTGCTTCTCGGATGGTCCTTGCTGCATCAGGTGTTGACCATGAAGAGCTGTTAAAATATGCAGAACCACTTTTATCTGACCTACCCAATGTGCCACGTCCAGCTGAGCCAAAGCCAGTTTATGAAGGAGGTGATTATCGTCATCAAGCTGATTCAGGGGTGTGTATTTACATCTCTTTGTTGCACAAATGTTTCTGAACATGATCTGATACTATGACAATAAATTTTCTTTTATATTTGTGGACAGACAACACATTTCGCTCTTGCCTTTGAACTTCCTGGTGGTTGGGTCAAGGAAAAGGATTCTATAGTTTTGACAGTTCTTCAGGTTTTACTTTTTTTCGTGATTCTAAACCTCAACATAGATTGTACTTACTACAGATTGAAACTTGGATGAACAAGTTATTTGCTCAAATTTCTTTTATAAAATGCATCTGTCAACTATATAATATACGATTGCTTGTTCTCGTTTCTTTCACTATTTTGTTTTGGTTTGGATGTCGTCTTGTAAGGAAATGCTGATTGTATTGATCATGTAGATGCTTATGGGAGGAGGTGGATCTTTCTCAGCTGGTGGTCCTGGAAAGGGGATGTACTCTAGACTATGTGGGTTGCCATTATTTTACCTAATCATTTAGTAGTTAGCTATGTTTCTTGAAGGAAGCGCCCTCTACATATGTATAATGTTCATATTTAATATAAATATGTGAAAATTGACATCTGCTTGAATTCACATTGATGGAGCTAAAATATAAGTACTGGTCCAACTAGTAACACCTATTTGCATCTCTTAATTTTTCTAATGCTTTCTATTATACTAGTCCTAAGTTCGATTTTGCACTATGTCTTCTTATTCCTTCTGCATCATGATAACATCTGCTAATTGTTGGCTGGTTTGCAGATCTTCGAGTCCTGAATGAGTATCCCCAGATTCAGTCTTTTTCTGCATTCAACAGCATTTACAATAATACCGGACTATTTGGAATTCAAGCTACCACTGTAAGGCAACTGTTTAATTTTGTGAATGTTTTGTAGTTTTAGACAGCTTTTACTTGCAGAATTCGATATGGTGTTGATTGTATAATGTTGGTTTGGGTATATTTTATATTATGATCTACTATAACATATAATGGATTTTATATCTGTTATTTTCATGTTAGTAATCACAGTTCATCCATTCCTTTGTTGCTTTTGCTGTTCGATGCTTCATCATTTAATTGGCAATGCTTTGTTATGAAACTGGTTATCACTTTATAATGCTTTTCAAGAATTAGTTTGCCACAGGAAGTCATGAATGTGCTTCTGCTGATACATGGACTGCCCTTTACTGGAGTCTTTTAAGCTTTTCTTTCTGATTTTTAGACTTTGCCTCCAGCTATTCGAAATGATTTTGATGGCAGAAGTTGTAATGGACATGATTGATTAGGTCATCCCACAAGTCTCTGTAGATGTTTAAATATCTATGGCCTCTGAAAATTGCTGTCTCCAGTTGCGGTTCATTCCTTTTAGATTAGTGAAAGTTTTTTGAAGATTTAACGTTGAGACAAATTTATGCATATTATTCATTGTGTATTTGTTGTCAACTTGTCCAGGAGATTTATTGCAATTTTGTTTATTAGAAAAATGGTAGATACTAATATAATGGAAGGGAAAAGAGAGAAGAAAATCGATTGTGCCGTGTGATCAGCCATTACTGTTCATACTTGCTCAGTTTATTGCATTTTATTTTCCTCGTTTTGTATTTATTGGATAGCTTAATATGAGGCTTACCTTTTTGATTCAGGGATCTGACTTTATAGCGAAAGCCATTGACATAGCAGTTAAGGAACTAATCGCCGTTGCGACTCCAGGGGAAGGTTTGTGTCTTTTTAGCTTGAATACTGTCGTCTTTGGTTTGAAGCCTTTTCATTATCTGTTCACTTAATTGTGTTTCTGAATTCTGATGGCTGTTGATCCTGAAAGTATGTTTTGACATCCATCATATTCTGGCATGCCATGAATAAATATTTTTTAGTTGTGAAACACTTCCTCACTTATTAAGCCTCCTCTCCCTCTTTTCTTTTCCCATAAACACATTAACACAACACCTCTTGTGCCCATCCGCATTTCACATTGAGATTATACTTTATAATGTGGAGGCAAAATATTTCCAAACGGTAAATCTGGATATCTCATTTGTATATAGTTGTTCTAAAATTGCTTCTGCAATTTTTTCCACTGTTCTCCATGCAGTTGATCAGGTACAGCTGAGTCGTGCTAAACAATCGACCAAGTCTGCTATTTTGATGAACCTGGAATCCAGAGTATGCAACATGTTTTATACACCCTTTTTAGCTCTAAAATTCTGTACGCGAAAATTAAGGAAAAAAAAAAAAACTCAAAATTATTATTTAATAGAAGTTCAGAGTATTTCCTTTCCTTTAGTTGTGTTTATATCACGTTTTTACTGTTTATATGTTTGTTGCAGATGGTTGCATCAGAAGACATTGGTAAACAAATTATGACATATGGAGAGAGGTAAGATCCATAAATAACTTTTTAGCTGAAAAGAATTGCTTATTAATAATTACCTTGTAGAGATGTTTCGGAATTGGAGAACTACATAAGATTGCAACTGAGCCCTAAGTTGAATGTGATTATTTATTTATTTTTTTTTCCAATTTTGGAGCTTTCCAAGAAATATCTGCTTAATAGAATAGATTTTTCCTTTCCCACTTTACCCTCTTGGAAACAATACAAATAATGTGTGAAAGTGACTCTCTTCATATCTTGATTGAAGTTTTATTGGATTCTCGAGAATCTCAGTGGCTCCTTCACCAAAGATCAGAAATACATCCTAGCTAGCACATATGTCACCGTGTGTTCCTTCCCACACCACCGTAGCCCTGCTCACTACTTGTAAACCCACTGCAAGAACATCACTGCTACCATTGACATCTTAACTCACCTGAATCTGCTGTCACTGCTATTGAAGTCTGCCGAACCATCTCTACCATTACAACCATTTGTTGCTATCAAATTAATCTGCATGTTTAACTATCCTTCCCAGTTATATATGACATTTACTTCAAATAACATGAGGATTTGAGTTTCCACGGTGAAATGGATTGGAATTTACAAGAATGCGTTGAAGATAACGAGTAGATGCCTTATTTTGGTCATTAAGAATCCTTGGATTGTGATTCAAGAAATTTGAGTTTCTATTGATAAGGGCATGCTTTTGGCTGCTTGTGGTACTGTGCTTATTGAAGTCATGGAGCATCAGTATAGTAACTCGACTTTTTGTTAAGGTGAAGCTCGATCGTGTTTGTTACTATGTTGATAGTGTCAGCTGTTTTGGTGGTGGTGTTGGCAATGTTTGTGGTGAAAATCGTGGTGGTGCTACCTACTTTTTCTCTTTGGTGATAGGTTGGTCTTTGCAGTGAGGTGGTAGGTGGTGTTGCTGTGACTATTGGTGGTCTAAATATTATAAATAGTATGTTCATGAATAGGAATGGCAAAATAACCCATTAAACCCGATACTCATGGGCCCCCGCCTCAAACGGGGAGGGGATTTCCCGCCTAATCGGGTACACGGGGCAAGGCGGGGAGTCGGAAAACATGGTTCCGCCCTGTTTTTCGCCACGTTTAAAGTCCTTCTCAAGATAGAAGTTTTTTATCACATAAAAAGTAAAATATTATCATCCTTTCTAAAGGACACCAAGTTCTATAAAATGGAAAAAAAACAATGATTTTCACCCATTAGAGTCATGAAAAAAGCAAAAAAAAAAAAAGAGTTGGTAAACGGGCAAGGCATTTCCATCCCACCCCCCCCCCCCCAAACCTATCGAATCACCAGGTATGGGATGCAGGGGCGGACCCAGCGAGGGGGTGCGGTTGCCCGTTCTGGATCCGCCAAAGTCTTCAATACGTCGGGTGTTGTTGCAGAAAGAAGACCGGAAGAAGGGAAGAAGAAAACCATATTCTCAGTTTGGGCCATTTTTGAGTATGACTCCTTCTCTGAGCCCAGCGTTATCTGGAAATTAAAAAGAACAATAGGGTAATTCCTCAAAAAGATAAAGCAAACATTGGCAGATGAATCTTGGAAAACGAAAATTATTTACATGAATCCCAAGTACTGTTAATACCTTGTTCAATTTGTAGGTGGGGTCTTGAAATTCTGTAAATTGGAGCATGTCTTGTGTTTGATTTGGCGATCTAGGGTGTCTTCAACAAGAAGACTGGCGACGAGCAGTGCCTCTTCATCCCAACCGGCCATGGCCGCCACTGATCTGAACCTTGGGTTAAACAAAGTTTCGTCTTTCCCGTCGACAGACAGACAGAATGGGAAGTTTGTTCATATGAAAATTCTTGAGTATTATTAATACTAAAAATCAAGTCTTTGGAAATGGAACAGATAACAGTTGGGTAGACGGTGGCTGTCTTATATTCTTCTCAAATTCCACACCCACTTCCCCATTCTTCTTTTTCTAATCCATGGAAACATCCCCCTAGAGTCATATGATCCTAATGTCTGAGATGATGTTATGATGACATACTTACGAGATGATTTATATATATATATATTACATTTTAGTGCATTTACATATATATTGAATAATTTTTAATATTATTTAATTAGATATTAATAAACGACCTTGCTCTTACGATCGCTGATTGTCGATGGTCAATGGTCAACGATCTAACATTCAGTCCGTCCGTGCTGAACTTTTGTGCTGGGTCCGCCACTGATGGGACGGGAATGGCTGCTTCGACCCGTCCCGTCCCGTTGACATCCTTACATGAGATAACGAATCTTATCGAGTATCTTGCATGTAACATTTGTGATACTTGTAGCTTTGCAATAGGTTCAAAACCAGGAGTCCTACCTGTCCAACATTCTATATCATCTTTCTTATTCTCCTTTCATAATTCTCACATCGAAACTATCTTGTAAATATAACAAGATGTTGGAATCATATCTAGTTCAAAAATGGCTTTTGTTGTCTTATTGCTTCTTCCGCACGATCTGCCTTGAAGTCCTTATTTTTCTGCTCGTCATGGATGAGGTTACATTACATATCCAAGACGAGACTACTTTTAGTGGGGCAATGGGTTATTTCCAAAGTGGGTCAATTTTAATTAGAAATTTTTTCTGAGTCTACACATAATAAGTTTGGAGAATTAAGAAGCACGTGCTTCACAAGTTTGGAGGCGGTGCTGCGAAGCGTGTGCCTCACTCAACTGAGGCATACGACCACAAAAACTATCTCACAATCAGCGCCTTGGGCCTCAGTCACTAATTTTTAAACCATGCATATATGTTTGTGTGTGCACGCTCATTCATTTATATATGGGCAATAATGGTGCCTCTCTGCTAGTATCTGCACTTTCAATACTTGCCTAACATATTATTCCTAGTGAAGCGAAGGAGGTAATTTTGGGCCTGATGGAGTTGAGATTTTTATCTTTGAATTTTATGAATTCATCACTTGTTTCTTTTGGTGGTTGGTAGCCATGTTTGGCGGATTACTAATGTGATGAAATTTTAAAACTGTTTGGTCAATACATTGTATAGTAGGTTACTCTGTCCACGATAAATTCTGGACAACCAACAGGAAATGGTAAATTGGAATATTACACAATTTGATATTGGTGGTTGATTATTGTTTAGAAGAATTTCTATAGTTTTAGTAGCAAAATCTAACCAAAAATAAGTTTTCCTTTTGCATCTTCAGGAAACCAGTCGAGCATTTCTTGAAGGCTGTAGATGAGGTTACAGCTAAAGATATAGCTTCCGCTACAGAGAAGCTTTTATCATCTCCTCTCACAATGGCATCCTATGGAGATGGTAACTACTTTGTCCCAGAGAAATCCTTTTCCCCAATGACATTTCTTTTTGCATGACATGGTCGGCATTCCTTAATCTCATTAACTCATTTAATTCCATCTTGCAGTTATTTATGTTCCAAGTTATGATGCTGTTAGCAGGAGATTCCATTCAAAATGAAAACATCCTTGTGAGGAATCGTCGTACTCCAGTCAAGAGCTGCTCTTTTCAGTTTCCTCAAGTTTTGTCCACTTTTTTGAGCAATGAATAGCTGTGAAAATAAGGAAACTTCAGATTCTTTTATACGAACAATAATTTGGCTAGGGGCAATTTGACGTAATTTCTGGTTCCACAGCTCTCAGTCTTCTAATTGCTAAATTTCATCCTGGATGAAAAAATTATGATTTCCTGTCTCGATTGCATATTCTTATAAAGCCCGATGGTTACTCAGTGACCTATTCTACTCGTATAATGGCAGAACTGAAGTTTGTAAACAACTCTGTGACAAATTTGTTTTTATTCTTTCCTTTCACAATGAAAATAAATCAGGTGAAGTCTCTATAAAACATTTTAGTTTCATAATAAGCTATTCGAGGGCAAAATCTTGACCTGCTTACTGCCTAATTTTAATAATTTATTGGGAATTGTTGGGTAAGTCGGGGTAAGAGTCAGCCAGGTGCCTAAGAATGGTCATTTGCTGGTGGAATAAGCGCAAATGAGCTCTACCCGAGTCTTTGCACTTGTCCAAATTCTCGACTTGCATAGGATCAAACTATTTACTCATCTTTCTTTACAAGGATCACCCTGGAAGGATTGATGATAAACTAAATTTTCTATGCAAAGAAGGAACTAGGAATGGATGAAATTTGTAGAGAAGTCTTGAAAAAGGTTAGTTGAAGAGAGCTAAGGTCTAACATTAGATGAACCTAACACCAATCTTTTCATTCTCTTAGATGTCTGAGTCATACCCAACTCAGCAACAAATTCTTGATGCTGTAACTTGTAGGTTACGACTTCCTTACAAAACAGTTCATGAATTTTGCGTTGTCTATGTTATTCTTTTCACACCTTTGTATCCCATTTCTATACGATTTTTGTCCTAAGCGATCGTACAAGTTTAGAATGTGTTTGATACATAATATTAGAATGAGTCTTTGTTTGACAATCATTAAAATGAGTGTTTTTGGGGAAAAATGAGTTTTGAAATAGTGATTTTTCAGAAAATACGTGATTAAAAAGTCGGTAACGTGTAGAATATTTTGTCAAACAGGAGCTAAGTTGGAAAAAGGGTCATATGGCAGAAAACATGTGCATGCATAGCCGTAAAGTATAAAATTGAACTGAATCCATATTTCCATAGTTTCAGAGATATTTGTCCCCATCTGTCCCCTAAAATTGCTGCATGGATACCCCATTCTGTGAAATCTTTCTCAAGTCTCTTGTGAAGTCTTGATATTCCTGTTTGGATGAACTTTAAAAAGTGGGTTTATTTGGAAATAAAGTCACATTAATTGTCATCAGGAGTGAATAAAAAAAAAAAAAAAAATACAAATTGTGTTACATAACCCCTTGGATGTTGAGGTAGAATTTGAGGAGAATAACAAAAGAAAGAAAGAAAGAAATATACTATAATATTATATACGGTCTATTAATTTAAAATTCTATCTTAAATTGCGTTTTCGCAATTTCTTATATTTTTATTTTTAGCTTCCACTATCGAATAAATTCAATGCAGTAATTTTTAGAAAAATGCTACTTGTACATCAAACATTGTACATAAGGGGATACATTACTCTCATATGGGGTGTGGGACCCATTGCATAAATTATTTTTTAATCTAAGCGGGTCCCACCCCCATGTGAGGGGGATGTACACCTCGATGTACAATGTGATGTACAAGTAGCAAGATCGTAATTTTTATTTGGTTTACATTGTAATTTTTACTAGTAATTTGTAATTTTTGTTAATAGTAATGATAAACTACCATATTTATGAGAGCATATGATATAGTAGTATATAAATTGTAACTTCTAGGGTCCAATTTAAGAGAATTGAGACTTGAGAGTCATAACAACGGTATATTTTATTGATAACAATGCCACACATTTATAGAATTAGGGACGTAGGGATACAATAGTCATTCAGAAGCAATATATAATTTATAACACTCCTTGAAAGATTAATTACATTGTCTCGTTTGAAACCTTATTTGATAAAATCTAGTGGACAAAAATATCCAACAAAGAAAAAAAAGAGTACATTTATTTGTAAGAGTTTTGGAGTATATAATTAAAATAAGTTACCTTGTCAGGAAAATTCAACAAGACAAAAACCAAGCGAAGGAAATATGCTCTCCCAATGTTGATCATGGAGATCTTTAAATTGGCGCAGTTCTATCTCATGTATCAATTTTTTTTTTAAATACAGACATTGACAATGCTTTTATGACTAAGTCAATCACATTATTATTTGAGCGATTTTTTTGATCATCGATGTTACCAGTTTTCTAAAGTTAATGTGTATAGAAGAATTTTGGAGAAATATGCTTCGACTTATGACCTTTGATATAATATTATTGAATTGTACAAATTGCATCATCTTCATACAATATAATTGTACTATCTTTTGTTGAAATTATTTCGCTTGATGCTTGGATACACGTATCATATTTTTTAACCACATTCATAGTATGCTTCATGAATTGCATTACTTTCATAATGGTTTCAAGATGTTATTGTTAAGATTTGCTTTGCAGATCTCATGGTATAGCTATTCCTCCATTCATAAACACATATTTTTATTTATTATCTAATTTACGTAATTACGTGGATATAAGAGATAACCTTCATCTATACATTCATGATCTCAATTTTTGTGAATAAAATAATCACATATCAATAGTACTTTTTGGATCACAAAAAATACGTTTAACACCACTCCAACGTCTTTGAGTTTGTGCAAAGCTATATTTTGTAAAAAGATTTTAAAAATTAGATCTCTAGTAAAGTACAATTTGCAAGACACGTTAATACTCTAATTGTAATGAGATTTGGTACTTCAGAATCAAGAATCATTTTCTATCTTCAAGTGGGCGAAATCGATCTTTTTCACATCAATTGATCGAACAACTATATGTGATGCCATTGAAGACGTTTTATCCATTTAGAAACAATTTAAAACTTTTTCTGTACAAAAGGATTGAAGAACAAATAATCATTCTTGAAAATGTTCAATATGCAATCCAATGCGAAGTTAATTAATTTTTTTTTTTTCAAATAGTACATTTTAAATTCATTTTTTCAAATAATCTTCAATTTTGTTGAGCTCTTCACTAATTCCTACAAGATTTAAATGAAAGATATAAATTGCCACAATTGTAAATTCGATATTTGTTTTCTTTATGAAAACACACGGACAAAAATCCCGTTCTTATAACTATATTTCAACAAACATTTTTTTAAGGATCATACAATATAGGTTCGGATTATTTTAATTTGTATAATTATATTTGCAGCTTGATTGAAAACAAGGTTTTAGGAAATGAACATTTGGTTCACTATCAACTGAACCATACAGATAGGTAAGACGCATGCCGAGTCATTCCAAGATATATAAATTATTCAAATATCGAAGTTTTAATTTTATATTGATTAGAGATTTTCTAACTAAATTTTATTTGCAACCTGCAAGAATTATATTTCAAGTGTTTTGACCTACATGTCTAAATACTTTGCTTTACTATGAAGAATTTAATTTTGCCTATAGAGATTCTTTTTGTTTTTGGCAAATAATTTTTACATTGTATTTTTTGATGAATTTTGCTTTAATATAATAGCAATCATCAATAATATTTAGCACTACAAAAAGGGTGATGCTACAAGTACATCACCCTCTATGTAAGGGTGTCCATAATGGACACCCGGCGTCTCTCCATTGGAGGAAGTGCCGGGTAGAGGCGTCGGGTGTCCATCCGGCACTTCCTCCAATGGAGAGGTATCGACTGTCCATTATGGACACTCTTATGTAGAGGGTGATGTATACTTACCATTTTCCCTACAAAAATATGTTGGCAAATATTTTTTTGGGAAGTGCTATGTGTACAGAGTGGAGGTGGGGCCCATGCTACAGTTCCATGGGTCCCACCCCACTCACATTATGTCAACTTCTATGTGTACACCTATGTACACATAGATTAATTCTATTTTCTTTATAATTGGTCGTGGATCCCACCCCACTCACATTATGTCAATTTCTATGTGTACACCTATATACACATAGATTAATTCTATTTTCTTTATAATTGGTATAGGTGACTCTACTAGTATTGCAGATGTCAATTTTTTTTTGCTATCATTATTGAACTTTTGGTTTACATTAGTCGATCGAGGATAATTATGATGCTATTTATGTAATTTATTTTCCAGCCTTTTAATTTCTAACCTTAACGCTGGGATTTCATAAACAATTATAGGTGGCAACACATCCCATAAATTATTATCCACAAGGTTTATTTTGTATAGAAGTAATTTAAGACTCGAGACATTTTCATCATTCCAAACAGATATATGAAATATTGCTCTCGAGAGCAATAATATAGCAATCATTTCACAAATTTCAAGTTGCGAGTGCATAATAGGGTCATTCGCGATCATCTAGTAGATGCGTCTTCTAAACCTATGTTATAGAAGTTTAGACCAATTAAATTGCTAGTTTAAGTTTGTCGAACTTAGTACCTTATAAAATTTGGAAATTTCATCTTAAATAATCTAATTCTTATATATTAATAATTATTTCGATATTTAATGAAGGTAAAATTTAAAATTAATAATGCTTAAAAAAGAAGCGTGTTTGTCGATGTCGCTGGTTGGTACAACACAAACAATCAATTGATCAAATATTTGTTTCCAAGCACGGAATGCCAAGATGATTATTGGAAAAAAAAAAAAAAAAAAAAAAGGCAGGGCTCCACTACTTGATTAGTCAACTGTTGAGTTTTGATATCCAATGAATCCTAAGCGTTAATGTAAATGTTGGATTAAATTGTTACTAAGGGATGACAACGGGGCAGGGGCTGGGGGCCCTCCCCGTCCGGCCGCCCCGTTACCAGTTTAAGGCAGGGTGGGGGCGGGGTGGGGAGGGGGTAGGTCCTTTCCATTTTTATTCCTAGTTAAAAATTTTTT